TCCCTCACTGTCCCTGTCTCTCTCCCTGTCCCCGTCTCTCTCTATGTCTCCGTGTCTCTCTGTCTGTTTCTCTCTCTCTCTCTCTCTCTCTCTCTCTCTCTCTCTCCCCATAGCGTTATCCATTTCATCAACATTCGGCATATCAGCAACTTGGCAGCGTGTAGTACAAATGACATGTCCGGCCACATGGCATACTCCTGATTCCTTCAACCTGCAATCGCCGAGGCTGATCACACTGCTAATGTCATTCACATACTGGTCTGGCAACGCTGGAGCACCAAACTCCACAGTTTAAGATCATATCCGATATTGCCGAGAGACCCAAGGCAAGCATATGGCGACCAACCAGCTGCTGAAATGCTGCTGAGGTGAGTACCCGTAGCATTCAAATTTCAAACTCAGTTCCTTGAGGACAGGGCTTCAAAAGAGTACACCTGGTGGTGACAGCAATGGCATGGTCAGAAGCGACTCCAGAAAGCTGCACTTGGGTTCCGGGCCAGCTTTGGGCACTAGACAATCTCCATGTTTTCTTCCCACCTCTTCTACCCCCAGCTTCTAGTTTGAGATCCCACCTCAACTGCCTCCGATCTTTTTTCCCTCTTTTAAAGCCAGCAACACCTAACTATAGGTTTCAAAGAAAAAGACGGAGGAGAAGAGACTGCACCAAAGGAGTAGCTGAGGCTGGTTGAGCGAACTTAGTCAAATATTTGACATGGCACAACAACTGGAGTACACCCATCCCAGAAGTCTAGATGGAGGAAGATAACAGGGGTGAAGAATAACTCCCTTGCTCTCACTTTTGAGATGATGATTATCCGGAGACTCTCAGAGAACTGGTACTAGGTAGAGAAGCAACAGCAGGGGAAAAGCTGCTGCCCTCCAGTTTCAATGTGCGGGAACTTGGAGGAGCCTCCTCCTGTGAACAATAACTCGCTCATTCTCAACTTTCAGATGGCGACTGTCTCAGAAAACTGGTACTAGATAGAGAAGCAAAAGCAGGAGTGGCTGCTGCCCTCCAGTTTCGAGGAGTGCGAGATCCGAGGAGCCTCCTCCTGTGAGGACAAGTTAAGACTTGGCCAATCAGACGGTCTGGGTTGCAATACGGAACCCTATCTGGTTCGCATAAGGAAACCGCATAAATTAGGAATGCCGCCTTACCCACCTACTTCTCCGAAACTGGTTTGCCGAAGCTGCCGTTTGCCCAACCCGGGACTTGCCAAATTTTGAGCTGCTGCTTGATCCCATTCCGCACCATTTATTACTGTTCATGTCTCAAGCAGGCGACAGGCGTATACGCTGACCGTAAGCCAGGGCTGAATTCGCGCTCAATGTCAATACCAAGCCCAAGACTTGAGACCTCACACAGCACTTGAAGGCAAAAACTGCAGCCGTCAACCTGGAACCATCCGTGGCAGCGGTTTTTCTTTTCACAGATGCTTCAAGTCCCTGCAAGTCTGAGAATGCTCCTGGACCGACCTGCAGTCCCTTGTGTTTACCATTGCAAGGACTTGGACCGCATCAGAGAAGCTGGAGGTTAAACCACCAGTACTTGGCGCAGCTATCGGCCACAAGGAGTAAAATTCTAGTCGGATGAATTTGGCGCTCCTGTAGTAGCCCGGACGTTTCCTAAAATCGTGGCGCGTTAACGGGCACGACTCTAGGAAGTACTGGTGGTTTAAACCAGCTGTACATCCTCACCCATACATCGGCCGCCGCGGAAAATAGAGCCGTGACGTTTCCACTTGAATGAATTTGGACCGCAGCCGGCAGGCCCGTTTGGGCCCAGCGCATCGCGGGTTGCATACGGCCGCGGCTTCCAGAGGTAGTGGTGGTTTAAACCACTGGCCTCTCTCTGAGGTATATTGTGAGAGTTGCATCCTCATATTTCTCCATTTTCAAGTTTTCTGCAACCTCGGTTCGCTTTCTCCTTCTTTTACCTTCCAATTGTTCCATGGCGTCTTCTTTTGTGGCCACTTCACCACGTCTCCGTCACATTCGCGACACAGCAAAAAATTGCGCTGACCCTTTCACTTCTTCGGTGTGTAACAGCAACAGGGTGACTAAGCCCCTGCTGGTGGTGTCTGGGTGTGTAACAGCAACAGGGTGACTAAGCCCCTGCTGGTGGTGTCTGGGTGTGTAACAGCAACAGGGTGACTAAGCCCCTGCTGGTGGTGTCTGCTCTTATCAGCACCACTAACATTGGCGGGGGGTGTGTTAAAAAAAAAAGAAGGGTGACTACGCCCCTGTGCTTTGGGGACATTTGTTAAATTTGGAACGACACAGAGAAGATTAGCATGGCCCCTGTGCATAAGGATGGCACACATAAATTGAGAAATTGGCCAAATTTTGAAAATACAAAAAACATTAAAAAACAAAAGGCCGATCAAGCCCGACTGCGCAACAGCCCAAGGGGGCTGCAGTTTGGACGTGCTGGACTACCCATTGTGGCACTATTGAAAGACATGCATCTCTGCAGCCCCTTAGACAGACAGTCAAACTATGGTCTCACTTAGACTTTGGACTTTGGATAAACAACTGGTCTCACTTAGCCTTTGGACTTTGGATAAACAACTGAGTACTTTTGACAGTCAAACCATTGTCCACTTCGCCTTTGGATATACAACTAATTACCGTTGCCGGAGGCCTACTCACATCCCTCATCAACTCGACTAGGACCATGGTCTCACTTAGCCTTTGGATATAGGACTAATTACTGCTAACAAAGGCCTACTCACATCCCTCATCATATGACTAAGTAACTTTGACTGTCAAACTATTGTCTCACTTCACCTGGACTTTGGATAAACAACTAAGTACTTTTGACAGTCAAACCATTGTCCACTTTGCCTTTGGATATACGACTAATTACCATTGCCGGAGGCGTACTCACATCCCTCATCAACTCGACTAGGACCATGGTCTCACTTAGCCTTTGGATATACGACTAATTACTGCTAACAAAGGCCTACTCACATCCCTCATCATATGACTAAGTGACTTTGACTGTCAAACTATGGTCTCACTTCACCTGGATTTTGGATAAACAACTAAGTACTTTTGACAGTCAAACCATTGTCCACTTTGCCTTTGGATATACGACTAATTACCGTTGCCAGAGGCCTACTCACATCCCTCATCAACTCGACTAGGACCATGGTCTCACTTAGCCTTTGGATATACGACTAGTTACTGCTAACAAAGGCCTACTCACATCCCTCATCATATGACTAACTTTGACTGTCAAACTATGGTCTCACTTCACCTTTGGATAAAAGACTAAGTACTTTTGACAGTCAAACCATGGCCTCCTCACATCCCTCGTCACATGACTATGGTCTCACTTAGCCTTTGGATAAACGACAGTCAAACTATGGTCTCACTTAGCCTTTGGATAAACGACAGTCAAACTATGGTCTCACTTAGCCTTAGGATAAACGACTAAGTACTTTTGACAGTCAAACCATGACCTCCTCACATCCCTCATCATATGACTATGGTCTCACTTAGCCTTTGGATAAATGACTAAGTACTTTTGACAGTCAAACTGGGCGTGGAATTCCGGGCCCGGTGCCACGGGCAAGTGAGAGGCGGGCCCGAAGCCAACGGGAAAAAAAGTGGTGGAACGTCGTGGGAGCGGGGTCAGGCAGGTGAAAGCAGTCGGTTTTTTTTTTTTTTTTTTTTTTGGTTCGCGGTGCGACGGGCCAAGCAGGAGGGAAACGGGAGGCCCGCCGCACAGTCCTGCGGCATTTCATGCATGATTGGCTTGACAGTCTTGTGTATGCTTCGTGCTCCATGTTTGCTTCGACCACCGATGATACGGGTAGTGCTGCTTAGTGCACGGCCAGCCACTGATGATATGGGTAGTGCTTTGTGCATCGTCCTTCGTGCTTGTTTCGTGCATGTTTCGTGCACAACCATGCTTCGTGCTTCCTGCTTTGAAGGGCAGTGCTTTGAGTTTCATGCTTTGTGCAATTCGTAGTGCTTCGTGGGTGATTGGATCGACCATTGCGCTTCAAAGGGTGGTGGAGGGACAGCAACCTGACATGGGGAGTAGCAATCGCGCCGTGGCTCGGCTGATCAGCCATCCTGTTTGAGGGATTGTGAAGAGAGGCGCGACGCGGCTTTTGAATGGATGTGTCATGATGGGTGGAGTACAAGCCGACGGGCGGATGGACGCAAGGCAATAGATGGGGTGTGGATTGAAGGTGATCGATGGACAGTTTTTTTTGGGGGGGGAGGAAGAAGAGGAGGAGAACTCCGAGAAGGATGGAGGAGGAGGAGAAGCAGAACTGCAAGGATGGAGGAGGGGAGAATGGAAGATGTGGAGGAAGGAGATGATGATGGCGATCATGACGATGATAATGATGATGATGATGGGCTTCTCACAGAAGAGTGAGGCGAAAAGGCCATGATTATCGTGGTGACTCTCTCTCATATGCGCGCGCGCACACACACACACACACAAACACCAAAACCATATCGGAATTCCTTCGTGTCCCCCCCCCCCCCCCCCCCC